GCAGGAATAAATCCCTGTTTGTCACAGTTTTCAATTTCTCTTCTTATTCAGGTTTATGGAGAAAGTTCTTCCTGTGCTGGGAGAGCTCTCAGGAACATTTTTACTCTACAAGCATCTGACCTGATTAAAGACAGGGTGTACCTTACTGGCATTTGCAGGTAACCTGGGATCATTCCTTTTAATTAACTGGATGGGTTTTATTTGCATTTGTTTATGTCCTGATTTGACAAGAGAGTAAATTCTGAAAGTGAGATTTTGTATGTGTACTAAGAATTGAAGATATTTTCTAAAAAATATCTTTAAAATCTCATGTATTTTAGTATCTTTTCTTATGTTACTTTGTCAGTTGTCACAAAGCAGCAGTAGCCTGATTGTATGTCCATTAATTTAATTGCTTATGACTTCATATACAATTTGTTCGTTGTTATTTGGTTGAAAAGAAAGAGTATTCAATTCAGCTCTGGTCTGGAGTTATAAAAGAGATTAATTGGATTCCCAAGATTTAGTTACACAGTGATTTTTGCATGTAATTTATGGAATATTTCTGTAATGAAGTGGTTTTCCATTCGTGTTGCATTACAGCATAAATGCTTCCTCCTATTTTCAATTATGCCAAAATGTGCAGGTCTCTATTATAGCACCATTCATTCATATCCGTATTTAAGAAAAAGCCACAACTTCATTTTTTTATGATTTAAAAAGATAAGTTTACCAATAATGTGAAAGATGAAGTACACCCTAGAGCAACACTCAAGGTCTTACGCATATATTGTGCAGCTGTATTGCTTATGCCTATGCTCAGAAAGAAAATAAAATCTTGAGGCTAAAAGCTGGATTTTATTTAGCTCATGTACATCTTTGGAGGACTGTCTGTATGCAGCACAAATTGATGAAAATATTACATATTGTAAAGCGTGCCGCATGAATTAGGTATGTAAGGGAACTTACTCATGTAATATGAGTTCCCTTGTTGTAAGTAGGGGCATCCCCTGAGACTTGCCAGAATAATTTCTTCCCTTGAAATGAAGAGGATTACAAAAATTAGTAATTGAGACAAAGAGT